TTCATACACGTAGGGTCCCAATCGTGGCCAAATCGTATAACAATCACACGGTCTTCCTCTGATAAAATAGCCTGGTCCACTTGCCAGCCATTGTGAAGATGAGGGAGCATGTACGACATTTTGATGGATGTCCAAACACACTTCTAAAAAGACGCATGAGGTTGTTGTCAAATTCATTTGCTTGAGAACCGCACGCATTGGGTTAATAAACTGTTCAAACGTTATAAAATATGATGAGATACTAACTGTTTACATTTCACACGTTGGTTTCTCGTTAGCAATTAGATCTGAATTCTAGAAAATAATAGCAGGTTTCTTCAGTGAAATATTAGAGCAATGAAAAAGAAAAAGAAAACTTTAAATGCAAATGCAATCCTTACCTCACAATTTAAATTAAACTTGTCGTGCAGCTTAGTGTGTTCTGAGTTTATTAGATATATAACAGTTTACTGTTTTAGTACTGCAAGTGCAACGACGTCGGCTAGTGGACAGTGCGTACAGATATTATCGCCCTCTGCTGGATTGGAGAAAGCTGCTTCGCTCTGAAGTCCACAAATAGAAATCTTTCAGTCAAATGTACAGATACTTCAATTCAATGTTTACACTATTAGAATGTATTCAAAGAGTCATTAAAAAATTAGATGAATCAGCCTCACTTATTATTTGCCCATAATCACAAACAAATATGCACAGCATATTTGTATTATATTCACTTTTGTATTTATATTACTTGTATTATATTTAAGTATTATGGCTAAATACTTTGCTATTTTATTATAATTACCATGTACTCAGCCATTGTGAAATCATTTTAATTGAGAGAATGTGCAATGTTTATAATAACTTCAAAAAAAGTGTTATAAATTAATGTAAAATTTAAACATTTAAATCTTAAATGCTTTTAAAGACCATTTAACATTAACCTCAGAAAGCATAAAGGTAATTAAAAATGGAAACACTTCAAAGAAATTGTGTCCATGGTCTTCAAATTCAACATTTTAGGTGTATTAATATATTAAGGAAAGTGTATATGAAGAGTTCATTTGCAAAAACCGCTAACTCCGTTTTTAACAATTTTCATTTTGAATTTTCATTTCACATTGTGCATTCCAATTAATCTCAAACGGCAGTTGGGTTATTTTGGTTAGGTTAAAAAATACAGCTAACACAATAAAACCATGATAACAATAAAAAACATGGTTTTTGAAATAAAATAAAAAACTGAGTTATCTGTGTTTGCAAATAAGCTCTTTATATCTTGATATATCAGAGCAGACATGTACATCAGGATTTAAGATGCAGACTTTCCTGTGTACATTTATATACATTTTAATCTAAAATTACAAAATAATAATTCTATGGACACGTAAACGTTAACAACCTATATATTTACTAGTCAAAATCCAGAGGATTTTTTTAGTCATATATCTTATGACAGAATACTCTTTAAATTTAACTAGCAGCATGAAGAATGTCAGCAAGCAAATGTGTTAAAATATTAAAAACATTTTAGTTCTTTAGATCTTCAAATAAGATCTATGATCACAATAATAAAGTTACATTTATTTTCCCCATTTTTGTACTGTAAATAAATACTAAATACTAGTTTAAATAAACTGCATACTGGTTAACGGATACATTTTGTTCTCTGACAATGACATTTAAGTTTGAGGTTCGAAAAATGGCCACTACTACACATGAACATACAACTGAAAGAAGTGCACTTGAAAGTATGTATATATGCTCTAATTTATTTAAACAACTTTCATTTTGTAAGCTTAGATGTTGTTGTTCACTATATTTAATACTGAACAGGGGGAAATAAAACAGGAACTCAAGAGTCTACAAGATATCCTGATGCTTACAATCATTATACAATTAAAATGAACTGCAACCAAATCTAATTCCTCTGCAAAGCTCCACACTTTAGCAAGTATCAGCTGAGAGGATGTCACTTAGGTAAGCTGCATTCATTCATATTACAAGAGAAAACCTTTTTGACAAAAAATCTGATCAAAACAATAATTTGAATATACCATATTTATAAAAGTATAAGGCAAGCAAAATAGAAATTTAACAATGGAATTGATTAACAGAAAGATACATAGTCTAAAACTTCATAAACTAACATTCCAACAAATATATAGAGAATGTCACAAAAAATAGTTTATGACATTTGGCAAATATGAAAAGGATTTTTCACACAAACATTTTCAACCCTAGAACAATAAATGGTCTACAAACATCTAATTTGACATGAGCCTTGCATGAAGTGATGCCTCAGTGAAAAGTAATGGATGTATGCTTTAAAATGGTTAATATGAAACAAAACATATCTACTCAAACACACATTTATGAACAGCAGCCAAAAATCAAACACATTTTCACTTGTTTCAATATCTCAAGTTCTACTTGGCTAACAGTTTAAACACTAGTTTCGGTGAGAATGGAACATATTTTGCATTGTTTCAAGGAACACGTAGCGGTTTACGCTCTCAGTACAATTTGCTTTCAAGTCCTCCTCGTCTTTATTACTAATGTGAAGCTACTCTTGGAGGTCCTCCATTTCTGTGTCCGTCACGGTGGTCAACTTCTCCGGCTCAATCTCTGGGATGTAGAGATTATGCTTCAATTTCATCAGCTCTGCCATATTGAAGCCTAAAAGCACCACAGCCTTAGTTTTCTGAATGTTTTTCATACATCTGGTACGCTTTGAGCCAATCTGGCAAGCAATGTCAGTTTTGTTAAGCAGCAAGCGGCTACTCAGGGCAACGATCTCCTTCTTGAGCGGGTAAGGCTGTGTATTAAAGTACTTATTGATAAACTCACGACGTTCTTCAAAGGTGGACAACTCCATTCCGGTAGGATCCAATGCTAATTGTACGGAAGGATCGATTACTACTTCAGGCGAGGGGACAGTCAGACCAGCCAGCCTATCTCGCTCAAGTTTCCTCTTCCTTGCCAACCGTTCCTCCCGCTCTTTCCTATTCGCCTCCATAGCTTCCTTGAAGGCTATTTCCAGACGCAACTTGCTCTGCATCTCTGCTTCTGTTTCTGGTGGCTGTGTAGCAGGAACAGAGGCTTGAACTGGAGTTGGGGTTGGACCAGTGATTTGTTTTGGATGAGCTGGGTATGATACAACTGCTCGGTTTGCTCTAGGAGTAACAGCTAATCCTAAATTCAGTTTATCACTATCCTTGAGACTCTTCGGTGCACTTCGGCATTTAGCCAAGTGGACAATGATGGCCTTGGTGGTGGTTTTCCCAGTGTACACACCACCACAGTAGAGGCATCGGTATGATGGGGTTTTAAGTATAGCATGCAGAGTGGGCACAATGAAATGCTTCTCTTTGAGGTGCATTTGATAGAATTGTTTGTTCAGAAGCTTCTCCGAGCAGAAGGGGCACTCAGTGCTGTCAGGATTGGGTGTGGGCATGTTGCATGGTGTGGACAGCTTGTCAACAGCCAGAGGATTGTTGGGCAACATCTTCACAAAAATCAGATCGAGGGAGCTTGTGACCAACGCGAGATTGAGCTCCTTCTCACCCATAATTAGTTTAGGCGCCGTGGTCCTGATGTCGAAGTAAGGGAAAAGCAGATTCCCCGAATCATCAGTATAGAGTCGGTATTCACGCCTCATGAAGTCACAGTTGCTCTTTCGGTTCACATTATGTTCCATCTGGATGTGCTCAACAAGCTGCTTGATGGAGTAGAAGAGCCCCGAACAGAACAAGCAGTTCATGCCATGAAGCAGGTGTTCAAAGACTCCCTTTTCTGAAATCAAGATCTTGCATGTCAGGCATTTCACCGTCTTGTCTGGCATCTTCTTCAAAAATGGAGCACGAGCAGCTAGACCAACCTTGGGCATTTTAGCTGCCTCTTTGTGAACTTCTGGATGGGACTCGTAGATATCAGATGGGAAGAGTTCATTACAAATAGGACATGTGATCCACTTCTTGGTTTGCTTGGGGGCCGGCAATGAGGTGTTTAGTTTGTTTTGCTGAACAGGTAGGTTGTTCTGGGATGCCTGCATGGGTGGTTTGCTGATTCCTTGGGAGTTATTTCCTTGGACCGATAGAACCTGCAAAGGTGCAAGAGTGTAGGTGGGCAAGCCGTCAACTTTGTTGCCAGTGGGGACCAAATGGCTCAGAAGTGATTGAGAGGTTATCATGGTGCCTCCAGAAGCAGGTTGATTTACGGGCATTCTTGGATTAGCAGCGAGGGACTGAGGTGCCGGTGGCCTAACAGCAGGTACATTAAGGCGAACACCTGGCGGTAAGACAATTTGGCGGGAAACGGGTTGCAGTTGTGACTGACTAGGTAGACCTACTCTGACAGACACCTGGTTGGGAGGAATGCCGCTAGGAGAAGGAGGCACGGCAGGTCTGGTAATTTGGGTGTTCTGAAAAGCCAGTGGGACTCCAGGTCTCAGTAAACCCTTAGCCTCAGCGCTTGCAAGTTGAACCAGAGCAGAAGCTTGAGTTGGGAGAAACGCCTGGCTGCTTCCAGGGGCAGCAATGACTGCAGAACCACCATTTTCCGGTCCTTTAATTCCACCAGCGGCAAGTGTAGAAGTCACCGCTGGCTGATCTTTCATCATGAAGACAGCAGGAGTGCTTTGTGTTTTTGGTGCTAGAGCAGGGTACTGTTTCGTACTTTCTGTTTCAAAAATTAGAGCTCTAATATGAACATCCAGTTCTTTGTGCTTTTCTGAAGTCAGAAGATGATACAGCAAGTGTTCGGATGTCTCAGCTGATACGTAACACTTTTTGCAGTAGAATTTCTGAGACCTGTCTCCTAGGGCCACAAGTTCCCGCTCCGATCTCTGCCCGGCATATTTATTCAACGTGGAAGTGTAGTGATAAAGAAGAACATGCTTTTTCACACTATACAAAAGAGTATCTTGTATATGGCATCTTCGGCACTGAAACGTGGTGCCGTTCACAGCCCTTGGAGGCAGCTGCGGCACAGTCGGAGTTTCTAACTTTGTGTCCTCAACGTGGAATAATCTGAGGTGCCTGTTGACAACTCGCTCTTCTTCATCATGGTAGCGCTGAACATGGGTTTTGTAGGCATGCCAGGATCTTGTAGAGAACTCGCATAAGGTGCAGCACAACCCTCGTGTCCGATATTTCCACTAAGGATTGAAAACGCTTGGTTAGTTGCCACTCAATATTCAGAGATGCTCATTATTTAAACAGTTTTTGCTCAGTAAAGCAAAACTAATTTACTAAAGTAACATTTAAAGTTCACCTTCTTTTTCCACCGTCCTTCAAACCCATCAGATAAACTGGGCCAGTCTGTGGCATCAAAAACATTGTCTCCTGGGTAAAATTCCTGGAGTTCCTGATAAACAAAAAGAGAAATAATATTTCAAATGTAAAGACATTTTAAGTAAAGGCTATTTTGATACACATGGACATGGGATTTCAGTTGTAGTCTATTTTATTTTTATTTGTACATTGTAAAACAAACATACCTGGCCCAAATTAAGACATTCTT